TAACGAAGAGGACCCATGGAGTTGTATGGAAAACATGCAGTTAGCAACGGAACCTTGTCGACCTAACGAAGAGGACCCATGGAGTTGTATGGAAAGCATACAGTTAGCCCCGGACCCATGTCCACTGAACGACCCCGATCCATGGAGTTGTATGGAACACATACAGTTAGCAACGTACACTTCTCCACCTAATGCAGATGACCCCGATCCATGGAGTTGTATGGAAACCATACAGTTCGCCACGGACCCGTTTCCACCTAACGCAGAGGACCGATGGAATTGTATAGAACCCATGCAGTTAGCAACGGACCCTTCTGCATCTAACGCCGATGACCCCGATCCATGGAATTGTATGGAAACCATACAGTTAGAACAAGCAGGGACTCATTCGCCCCCTCCATTCTCTTCCGACCCCGGGAATGACATGCCGGCATTAGACCGCACTAAGTGGATCCCTTGGATTGACCGCAACAAACATATTCTGCGGGCGTGCACGACGCAGCCGTGGTTTCTGCAATTAACAGCAGATTGGAAACAATACCTGCGTGAGCACATTGCGGCAAACGACGCATCCGGTGAGCACAGGAAAGCCGCAACCATGCACAGGAAGAAATTAGACTTGTGGAAACAATGGGTCGCGCAACAACATCGGCACATGAGTATGTATGGCCAGGAGGCGTGGTTTCAACATTTGTTGAATAGTGTACAGCAGGAGACAGTACCGCAAACAGGCGAAGTACCTGGAGTCGAAAAACAATTAGAAGTGGAAAAAGTAATGGGAACAGCAGACACACTAAGAGTGACACATGCACCGCGGTCGCAACTGCATCATGCACCGCATATGACAAAACCGGTAACCGCTAAAATATGGATACTGCTGCTCGCGTTCGTAATCGAACAATGCGAGCTCGAACGCAGTTTGCAGGAGAAGGAGTTATATGTGGATGACCTATTGGAGAAGCTCTGAACTTCGGATGACGTTGCATATGAATGCAACATAACGCATGCTACCCGCACACCACTTTTATTTCATTATGTGATATACATAATACATTTCTTGTTTGCACTATTCCATACGTTTTTTTTTTGCTGCTCTGTTCTGCTTACTTCTGTTTCTTTGTGCTCACTTTTGCCTTGTTTTGTTCTTTTTCTGTGTAGTCCACTTCTTTTAACATGACCATGGGCACACGGTGGTACACGTCAAATGCATATAACATGTAGATTTACATGAATAATATGACGCGGTAGTATTCTCCTTTATGTGAAGTTAATTATTAAAAGCTGAGCACGTGCATTCGCAGGGTATAGTGCAGAACACATATAGCATGCGAATACGCATTCGAGTATAAGGAGAGATTGTCTCTCCGAGCAAACGCGGCCGCGTAAACCGCATTGTAGCCGAGTGTAAGAACCATTCGACGAAGTAGCCGCGTGTACGACGCATTCGACGAAGGATTGTCCGAGTGTAAGAAAGGAGGGAGAGATTGTCTCTCCGAGCAAACTCGTCGAGCAACGCGGCCGCGTGCAAGCACGATTCGACGAAGCAGCCACGGGAAGGACGGCACCAAGGACGGTAGAAGCGAATTGATGTTGTTGTTATTACTGCGGTTTAGCCTACACCGGTGTAGAAAGGCGTATTCATGACGCGGGGCGTATAGGTAGCAGTAGTAGTACTTTTTTTTTTTTTCCTGTCTATGTTTCTTTTCTTTTTCTTTTTCTTGGTTTTTTTTTTTGGGGCTCCATATTTATTCCTCTGTCATTCTCTGTATATAGTTCCAGCGGCATATAATAACAGTAGACGAATGGGATTGCATACAGGGCAGATAGTTGTTTTGTTCTCTATACAGTTCCAATGTTATGTGTTAACGCCAGCAATTACTCATCAATAGTAAAGGCACAATAGAACACGGTCTAGAGGGGTCATGTGCAGGTTAATATAGTTCACGCGGGACATTGCGACAATACTCAGGTGTGTAATATTTGAGCTAATCGAAGACGAAGAAGTATGTCGGCTAAGGAGTTAGGGGACATATTGGCAAAATACGTACAGGAAAGGAGAATAGGGGGATCGTATGAGGTAATTTCCTATACATACAAGCCGCGTGAGGCGGTGTGCAAAAGGCAGCACATATGTGTGCCTAACAGCAGCATAATACAGGGCACCAGCATGTCGGACATGTGCGTGCTTCATATGTACCGCATACGGCACATTTACATGTAACAGGAAGGAAGGGACACATATAATTAGATGATTGCCACGGTTCGTGAATAATAGTGTGCCACCACATATATATGTGCATTGTGTTCAACGCAGAGTAAGTTATGGAAGGATATGCAATACCAACTGGAGCTTTTTATTAGGCATATGAACAATGACAGTGAGTACCACAATGCTAAGAACTGTGAGAATGCATACTGGCAGCATCCACTAGAGGACGGGACGCAAGACCAACCAGCAAGGCAGATGAGTAGGAGGAAAGAAAGAGTTATATGCAGACTCATGACGCAAGCGATATATTTTGCAAATGCGTGGAGTACAGCTGTACAGGAGAACGTAGGCCACGATGACCATAGTAAGGATATTAAGGGGCTAATAAGATGCACAATAGCGGATATATACCAAGACATACTCCGGACATATGCATGCGAAGGTCACTGGGGTACATATTACGCCTGGTACGTCGTGGACCAAATGTGGGGAAACATGAAGGCAAATTGGGGCGAGCAGAATTGTAAGAAGGGGAAGTACACGACTATAGAATTGAAGACTTGGAACATGAGGAGTAAGATGAAGACCTGGCTAAAGCAGAATGAAACGATGAAGAAGAAGATTGATGCCGAGAAACTAAACGATGGCTGCAAGGGAAGAACAGTGAACGTAGGGCGCGACATGACAAAGGAGTCAGAACAACAGATAGATGAGACCACGAAGACTGCAATGAGGCAAAACGTACAAGAAATTTTTACTGACATGAAGACAGACATTGGACAAAAACATGCAATATTCACAGCATCGCCTAAGAAAGACCCCACGGACCCTTCTGTGGACGACGCAGACGACCGGGAGAATGCCGAGATAGAGAAACGAATGAAACAAGCAATCGCGCAAGTGAAAGACCAATTAAACGCAGTGATCGCGAAGACTGCCGCTGAACAAGCAGCCGCCGCCGAAGCGGCAGCGGCCAAACCAGCCACGACCAAGCCGGCAACCACAAAACCGGCAGCAGCAGGAGGTCAGAAAGGGGCGAAGCCCTCGGCACCATCACCAGAAGGCACATCAGGAACATCACCAGGATCAGGAAGGTCAGATCCCGGATCCCCAGATACACCGCTGCCACCACCCGCGGCACCAGCAGGGGACACGGCATCCACGGGGCAAGGACCGGGTCAGGCACCAGGACCCGTACCACAACCCCCACCTGCGGCACCACCCTCGACACCATCATCACCACCAGAGAGTGGAGCATCCGGTACAGGAAGTAATGGCAATGCAGGAACAGGGTCAACGGCAGCACCATCGGGAACACCTCAGACAGAAGGTAAGAAATCAGGGACCGAATGTGTCACTAATATAAATGAAGAGAGCACACATAGTACGTACGCTGGCACGCACACAGTACGTCTGAGTATTTCCTTCACTAACACGGATCCGAAGTCTGGTTGCTCAGGAAGTAGTACCCCAGGTAGTCACACCAATTAGAACAAAAAAGAGAGAGAAAAAAAAAAAGAAGCAACTTTTCCGGACACACCACGGCGAGGAAACCCGGATGCACTGCGCATGACCACCACAACACCGGGTCCGCCGCGCCCGGTAGCGATAGGTCGGCCGCGGCATGTAGACAGACAGACGTAGACAGACGCACGTCGACAGACAGACCGACACACACTGTGTGTGTGTTGTGTGTGTTGTGTGTGTGGTGTGGGTGGGAGACAGAGAGAGAGTCTTTTCCCCGGGGTGGCACCCTACCCCGTGCACTGCTGCGGCCCGCCGTCCCCATCCACGGAGGACAACCGTGAAACGACGGCGCAACCAACCACGAGCAACCCTGGGCAACCACCCTGTAAACCCATGGGACCCATCAACCATATGCTGCACAAAACTTCAGTTGCCTTCGAAATGTTTCCTCCTTCTGCTCGACATTTGCAGGTCAACATACTGAGAAGGATAGCTCGCGTACGGATGCAGAAGGTGCCAAATCAACGGAAGCACCGGCGCAACCAGCAGCAGCGGAAGATGCAAAAACAGCACAAACATCAGAGAACGGTTCCCCTGGCAAGGACGGTGTTCAGGATACCGTCGTTGACGGCGGCAACGATGACCTCCCTCCTCTCAATCCACCCAAACCAAAACCGCCCCCGACCCCAGATCAATCGGGTAGTAGTGGCGGCACCAGCGGCGCATCAGATCAACCGGGTTCCTCTGGTACTGGTTCTACTGGTGACCACACCCCAGGTTCTTCAGGACCTGGCTCCACGGGGACTTCGCAACCAGGTACCTCAGGTAATGGCTCCACAGGGGTTCACCAGGGAGATTTCTCGGGTCTCTCCCTCGATGACCCTGGCATCTTCAAAGGTCGTAATCCTGGTGGAGGACTGGTGCCACCGACCTTAGATGAGGGCACTTCTCAGAAACCCATTGAATACCCCGGCACACCCAGGAATCCGAATAGTGGTCCCCATGCGCCCGACCTAACCGACGACGTCCTTATTGCCACTACTCCCGTACTCTTCTTCCTGTCCGCCGTCACCGTCGCCCTTCTTGGTTATTCCCTGTGGAAGGTAAGTGCATACGCCAATCAGGGAATGCCGCATGTGCAGGATGTTCATACCTCAGAACATCCCGCCGGGCTGCAATATATGATCTTTCTTACCAATATGCCCCTACATCCGCGTTCATTCCTTTTATCCTACCTTCCTCACCATCCTCTTTGCCCCCCTTTTTCTGCTTAGTATTTTGCCTACCTCGGACAAAAACGACGACGAACATATCGAACCGTTCGTGACGTGCCGTCACCGCCACTCGACGAAGAAATTCTAGACCATCTACAACGCGGCGAACTGCCGCCACCCGATTACGGGTACACAATGATTAGGGATACGCAACCTCCGTCAACATCCGGTAGAGGCCGCCCCCCACGCGTGCATAAGCGCACCATCATCGAGCTACATCTAGAAGTGCTCAACGAATGTGCAGCCACCGAGTGGGAAAACGTCAAAGACGACTATTGGCAGATTGTCGTGGAGCAGTTTGCGCCCGACTTGGAACAGGACGCGGACACGAATAACAACATCTTGGGTGTTTCGACCTCAGACTATGGTTCTCCAGGGACCAATGTTTCCTCCACCTTCGATCCACCCACCGATTCCAACGGAACGGATCCATGTCCACCACATGACCCCGATCCTTGGAGTTGTATGGAAACCATACCGTTACAAACGGACCCATGTCACCCTAACGCAGAGGACTCCGATCCATGGAGTTGTATGGAACACATAGAGTTAGAAACGGACCCTTGTCCACCTAATGCTGATGACCCCGATGCATGGGGTTGTATGGACACCATGCAGTTAGAAACGGGCCCTTGTGCACCGAATGACCCCGCTCAATGGCGTTATATGGAAAACATACAGTTAGCAACGGACCCTTGTCCACCTAATGACCCCGATCCATGGAGTTGTATGGAAAACATACAGTTACCAAGGGACCCTTGCCCACCTAACAACGACGACCCCGATCCATGGAGTTGTATGGAAACCATACAGTTAGCAACGAACCCTTGTCGCCCTAACGAAGAGGACCGATGGAGTTGTATGGAAACTATACCGTTAGCAACGGACCCTTGTCCACCGAATGAACAGGACCGATGGCATTGTATGGAAACCATACAGTTAGACGCTGAACAACATCGCCCTTCCGACCACGTGACGTCGGCGTGCACCCAATGGATTAACTGGATTGACCGCAACAAACATATTCTGCGGGCGTGCACGACGCAGCCGTGGTGTTTGCAACTACAAGCGGATTGGAAACAATACCTGCGTGAGCACATGGCGGCAAACGAGGACAACGGAGTATACGGTGAGAACAGGACAGCTGCAACCATGGACAGCAAGCAGCACGCATGGAAAGAATGGGTCGCACAGCAACATCGGCAAATGCGTATGTATTGTGAGGCGCAGTGGTTTCAACATTTGTTGAATAATGTAGCGCAGGAGACAGTGTCGGACAACGGCGCCGTACCACGAGTAGAAAAACACTTAGAAGTGGAAAATGTAATGGCCGCAGAAGATGTTCTAAGAGTGCGAGCTTTACCGCGGACGCAACTGCATCCGCAACCTTACATGACAAAACCGTTAACCGCTAACATATGGATACTGATCCTGGCATTAGTCATACAACAGTGCGAGCTCGAGAGTAGTATGCAAGACAAGGAGTTATATGTGGATGACCTATTGCAGCAACTGAGACATTAGCATGACGGGGCATATGAATGCGACATAACGCATGCTAACCGTACACCACTTTTATTTCATTATGTGATATACATAATATATTTCGGGTTTACATTATTCCATACCGTCTTTTTTTTTTTGCTGCTCTGTTCTGCTTACTTGTGCTTACTTTTGCCTTGTTTTGTTCTTTTTATGTGTAGTCAACTTTTTTTATTATGACTATACGCTTCCGGCTGTAGAGGTTACATGCATATAAAATGTAGATTTACATGAATAATATGCAGGGGTCGTATTCTCCTTTATGTGACGTTAAATATTAACAGATGCGCACGTGCATTATACGCGCATAGTGAAGCACAAATATAGCACGCGCATACGCATTCGAGTATAAGGAGACATTTTCTCTCGGCGCAAACCCGGCCGCGTAAACCGCATTGTAGCCGCGTGTGAGAAGGACGAGAGCTTGTCTCTCCGAGCAAACGCGTCGATCCACGCGGCCAAGTGCAACACGGATTCGACGAAGTAGCCGCGTGTAAGACACGAGGGAGCGATTGTCTCTTCGAGCAAACGCGGCCGATTGTAACAGCGATTCGACGACGTAGCCGAGTAACGCGGCCGAGTGCAGGAAGGATTCGACGAAGGATTGTCCGAGTGTAAGAAAGGAGGGAGACATTGTCTCTCCGAGCACACGCGGTCGATTGTAAGCAGGATTCGACGAAGTGGCCGAGTGTCCGAAGGTAGACATTGTCCGTCCGAGCAAACGCGTCGACCAAAGCGGCCGAGTGTAAGAAGGTACACATTGTCTCTCCGAGCAAACGCGTCGACCAACGCGGCTCTAGTGTCACAACGATTCGACGAAGTAGCCGAATAAGGGGTTCGAGGGAAGGATCCAGAGGCGGCTCCAGCCAGGGAGCACAGAGCGGGCGGGCGAGAAGGAACACACATATTATGTGGGAGGGCGAACCACGGAAGCAAGGCGGCAACGACGGCGGCAACGACGGCAGCAACGACGTCATCCGCATTGATGTTGTTACTGCGGGGTTTTAGGTGTACGCACAGATAGACACAGTGTGTGAGAAGGCGTTTAGTGGAGACCGGTATAGACAGGCGGGAGCGGGCGTTATTTATGACGTGTTGTGTGTAGTGTACTTTTCCTATTTGGTCCTTTCTTTTTTTATTTTTTGTTCTTTCTCTTCTTTCTTTTCCTTTTTCTATATTCATTTTTCGATTATTACTTATATATGCGTGCTGCGCGATTTATTAGTAGTGGAACAATGCGCTTGCGGGGCAGGGACACATGAAGGGTTGTTTTCTGTGCAGATTTCTACTGTTAAGTGATAACCGCAGCCATTCCTGTTACGTTGTAAAGTGGGAGAATAGGAGGAAGGTGTAGATGGGCAATATAATGCTAAATATATTTCATATACAACATTGGGGTAGTAGTTCAGATTGCAGCGTGGTTACTTACCGAAGGAAAAACACTATGTCGGCTACAGAGTTAGGGGATTTACTGGTGGAGTATGTCAGGCTCCGAGGAGATTACATGTCCGAAGAACAATATCAAGTAAGGCACCATGAGGGAATATGTGAGAACACGGAAATTTCGGGGGCATGTGTACACACGGCACACATGCGTACTGTGGGATGTAGGCAAATTGAGGTTAAGGGAACATTATGGTTATGTATTACTATTTTTTAAAACCGAAGCGAAAAAACACAAGGAGTGGGTTGTCTTGTATGAATTTATTCACGATCACAGAGACCGTGTGGACACAGTAGTATATAGGTATGTCAATTATTTTAACATTGTAGAATATGCTATTGAAGGACATATATGATCAGTTAGGAAAGTTTGTGGAGTACATGGAAGATCGAGAGACAATAATGCCGTTTACCGTTAATTGTGATGATGAGGGCTGGATACATGGAAACGAAGGTATTAGGAAAATGAAGACGGAAGGAAACAGACCTATATGTAGGCTTATGGTAGGGGCTCTATATTTTATGAACAAAAACAAATGGAAACGGCAAAGTGGAGAAGGGGCGGACACTGGAGATGACCGCCTAAAGGACTAGTAAGGTGTGCAATAGTAAACATGTTTGGAGCATTATTGCTGGAGGCATCCTGTGGCGCAGACTGGGGCATACAGCAGGCCTGGTATATAATGCAACAAACAGAGCAGTCTATGCCTGGTTTAATTACGGACAAGATTTGTAACATGCAAAGGGCTGAGAATATAAAAATTGGAGACTGGTCCATGAAAGACAACATAAAGAAGTGGTTGGACGAAAATGAGGAGTTTAAAGCGAAATTACAGGTGAAGAAAGTAGGAAATAAGTGCACGGGAAATGCGCAGAGCACATCAGAAAATGAGGGCGCATCAACAGCACTTAGTGCAGGGCACGGAAACAAAATTAAGCAAAAAAAGAGTGCTGCGGAAATTCTGTGGGGTAAAGTGAAGAATGTAGTTCGGGAAGCTAGAAAAGAGGTACGACACAAAATAAAAGACCTGAATAACAACATACCGAGCCAGCCTTATGCCAACGTCACGCCCAGGAAGGACTATACAGACATCTCCGACTCGGAGGAAGAGAACGAAGAAGACGAAGATGGCGATGATGACGATGCAGGAGAGGAGGACGCGAATGGTAAGAAGATTACAGGAGCAGCGTGTTACTAATACGGGGCAATAAGAACACGCATAGTACGCATGCGTCTGAATACGCATACGGCCGCATACTAACAAGGCCGGCACGGACATGAGCGCCACCAACATGACTGCGCATATGGATGCCGCCACAACACAACAACGCACACGGGGCGCCACAGTCAAAACAACGCACACGTGGGGGAACAACACCCCCTCGTTGAGCGATGAGCACAGCGGCGACGCAGTGTACACGAGCGTACCGTGCAGCGGCCACGACGGGAGCGGCGACGGTGAGGGACCAGATGACGACAAATAAAAGTGTACTGCACCATGCAGCCGACCCTACCCTGCCGCCACCTGACCGCACCGTCCCGGCCCGTTCTTTCTGTACCACTTGTGTCCCTTTTTTTTTTTATCATCTTTCTACCATGTTTCTTGGGTTCCCCATCTTCGGTAAACCCACTGCAGGACCCAAACTCGAGGATACCGGAGGCGCCAGGTCATTGCCGCCATCGCAACCAGGAGCGCAACCGCAAGCACCGGCATCTCCAGTATTACCAGCCAGACCACCACCACCAGAACCGGCACGTTCTGCTGCAGGACAGGGGGAATCATCGAAGGAGTCGAAAGAAACAGGTAAGTGCTCCAAGGGGACAGAGACTTATACAGTCAAAAACGCAGGCGCAGGTGTCCACGGATCCACATCAAATACTTATGTGTCTTTTGGAACGACATCTGACATTGACGGTACTTGTGGGAAGAAACCCGAAGACTCGGGACCAGGTAGTCTCCTGAGTACATGTCGACAACAAAAACACAGAGAAAACCAACAGACACCACTTTTCCGGAGAGAACACGGACAGAGGGCGAGACAGAAACCAACGTCGAATGGGAATGAGCGGCAGAGCGATGGGTCGGCCTCGGGATGTAGACAGCCAGATGTCGACGTCGACACACACAGACACACACACTGTCTGTGTATTGTGTGTTGTGTTGTGTGCGGGAGAGAGAGAGAGTCTTTTCCCGGAGTGGCACCTACCCTGCCAACCACCGTTCCCACCGCGCCGACGAAGGATGGACAACGATCGGTGCTGAACCGTGTGGCCAACCATCATCGACGGACCGTGATCAACAAACAACCACCGCACAACACTTGAGTTATTTCCATATTCTTCCTTTTCGTTCAAACTCACAGGTACTGGACCTACACAGATCACGACACGTCACGCTCCGGAGGATTCACCGCCGGTACCCGCCCCCGCACCGGGAGCAGTACCCACTGAACCCTCAACTCCCGTAGCAGTAGGATCCGAGAAACCCGGTGCATCCGCTGGACCCAGTCCGCCGGCTCCTGAACCTGTGAACGAGGAAGTCCAAGCAACTTCTCCGGGTACTGGCCACGACACTAGCGCCCCCGGTTCCTCGGTGAACAGCAGTACGGATGACCCCCCTCCTCTCAATCCACCCAAACCAAAACCGCCCCCGACCCCAGATCAATCGGGGTCGAGCGGCGACGACACAACCACTGCAGGTGGTGTGTCTGGTGGGGAAGGAAAAGGCGGAGGTGGGGGTGGTCAAAAGGATGGTGGCGGCCCCGGTAGCGGAAGTGCAGCAGGAGGAGGTAGTAGTGGTGGTGGTGCAGGAGGACGTACTGAGCAGGCAGGTACCCTTACCCCTGCCACCCCTTCCGTGCCGCCCGGCCTCACATGGGAAGATATTAAGCCGTACACCCCTGCCATCATCCCAGCGGTGGTTGGTATTGGGGTCATTGCGTTCTTTCTCTGGAAGGTAAGTATATACGGCAATCAGGGAACGCCGCATGTGCAGGATGTTCATACCTCAGAACATCCCTACGCGCACCCATACATGATCGTTCGCACCAATATACTCCTACACCCGCGTTCATTCCTGTTATCCTACCGTCCTCACCATCCTCTTTGCCCCCCTTTTTCTGCTTAGTATTTTGCCTACCTCGGACAAAAACGACGACGAACATATCGAACCGTTCGTGACGTGCCGTCACCGCCACTCGACGAAGAAATTCTAGACCATCTACAACGCGGCGAACTGCCGCCACCCGATTACGGGTACACCATGATTCGGGATACGCAACCTCCGTCAACATCCGGTAGAGGCCGCCCCCCACGCGTGCATAAGCGCACGATCATGGAGCTACATTTAGAAGTGCTCAACGAATGTGAAGCAACCGAGTGGGAAAACGTCAAAGACGATTTTTACGGGATTATTTTGGAGGAGTTTGCACATGACTTGGAGCCGGATGCAAACGGGCATAGTAGTTTCCCGGATGCTCCTACCACAAACCAGGGTTTATCAGGGAACCATGTTTCCTGCACCCTCGACCCACCCACTGACATCGAACGAACGGATGCATGTCTACCTAACGAAGAGGACCCCGAGCCATGGAAGTGTATGGAAACTACAGAGTTAGAAACGAATGCATGTCCACCGAATGACCCCGACCCATGGAGTTGTATGGAAAACATACCGTTAGCACACGACGCGACTCTTCCTGCCGCTCCATCCTTCTCCGACCCCGAGCACGCGACTTCGGACTGCACCCAATGGATTAACTGGATTGACCGCAACAAGTACTTTTTGCGGGAGTGCACGACGCAGCCGTGGTTTTTGCAATTAAAAGCGGAATGGAAACAATACCTGCGCGAGCACATGGTGGCAAACGAGGATAACGCAGTATACGGGCACATTGACAACGGTGAAGCGGCAACCCTGCAGATGAACAAACTGCGGTTGTGGAAACAATGGGTAGCGCAACAACATGCACAAGTGCTTATGTATTGTGAGGAGGCGTGGTTTAAGCATTTGTTAGACAATATCGCGGAGGACATAGTATCGCCAACAGGCGAAGTACCTGTAGTGGAAAAAGACTTAAAAATGGAAATAGTAACGGCCGCAGAAGATATACTAAGAGTGAGAGATTTACCGCGGTCGCAACTGCATCGGCAACCGCACATGAAAAAACGGTTAACCGCTCAAACATGGATACTGATCCTGGCATTAGTCATGGAACAGTGCGAGGTTGAAAGCCGTTTGCAAGAGAAGGAGTTATATGTAGATGAACTATTGCAGCAACTGTGACATTCGGATGACGGGGCATATGCATGCGACATAACGCATGCTGACCGTAGACCACTTGTACTTCATTATGTGATATACATAATATATTTCTGGTTTACATTATTCCATACCGTCTTTTTTTTTTGTTCTGCTCTTTTCTGCTTGTGCTTACTTTTGCTTTGTTTTGTTCTTTTTCTGTGTAGTCCACTTCTTTTAACATGACCATAGGAACAGGTGCGTACCGGTTAAATGCATATAACATGTAGATTTACATGAATAATATGAACGGGGTAGTATTCTCCTTTATGTTAAGTTAATTATTAAAAGCTGAGCACGTGCATTCTACGGGTATCGTGCAGCACAACCATAGCATGCGACTACGCATTCGAGTATAAGGAGAGCTTGTCTCTCCGCGCAAACGCGGCCGCGTAAACCACATTGTAGCCGAGTGTAACCACGCGTCGACCAACGCGGCCAAGTGTAACCACGCGTCGAACAACGCGGCCGATTGTAACAACGATTCGACGAAGTACCCGAGTAAGCATTGTGCCGAGTGCAAGAAAGGAGGGAGAGATTGTCTCTCCGAGCAAACTCGTCGACCAACGCGGACGCGTAAGCAGCTTCGAGGAAGGGGTTCGACGAAGTGGCCGCGTAAACCGCATGGTAGCCGAGTGTAAGAACCACGAGACATTGTCTGTCCGAGCAAACGCGGCCCGGGTAAACGGGATTGTCCGAGTGTACGACGCATTCGACGAAGTAGCCGAGTGTACGAAGGAGGAGAGATTGTCTCTCGGAGCAAGTGGTTTGAGTGAAAAGTCCGCGGAAGTACCCCAGTAAGGGGTTCGAGTGACGGATCCACAGAGAGGTAGCACAGAGGGTGCAGTGGAGCGTGGCGCAGGCATGCACACACATATTATATGCGGGAGCAAGAACGAGGGCAGGAAGGCGGCAACGACGGCAGCAACGACGGCGGCCACGACGGCAGAAGAAATTGATGTTGTTACTGCGGTTTTTAGGTGTACGCACACAGAGACAGTGTGTGTGCAGGCGTTTAGTGGAGACCGGTGTAGAAAAGGTGTGGGGGTATATTCATGACGCGTTGTGTGTGTACGGTAGTGTAGTAGTACTTATTTTTTGCTTTCTTTCTTCGTTTTTTTTTCTTTCTCTTCTTGTTATTCTATCCTTGTATTTTTTTCTCTTTTCTCGATATAGTTCTCCCTTAGCGAGGCTATAACTCGTGTACGGTAGAACTCTAGTGAGCACAATTACCTATGATACCAGCAGTTCACGTAAATATTGTTGTAGAAGTAGAGGAAGAATAATTATTTAGCACAATATGAACATATTGAGGGAGAGAATGTTATAAGCGTTACCATTGGATATATGCAGAATAGTAATATTTCAACGGGTCTGGACAAAGTAGAGAATACTAATAGAATAATACTATTATGTCCGCAAAGCACCTAGCCCAGGTGTTGGCCCAATACGTGATGGCGCGGGGTGCATACATGGGCCACGAGGATTATCTGGTAACTTAGAGTGATGGGCAGGATATTAAACGTAATGCACCTTACTTAGCTTATGCATAATGGGGAGGCAGTTTATGGAGCGCAGATACGTGCCATATGTGAATGAGTATGAACGGTGTCCCCTGTTATGCTAGTGCGGGTGTACTTAGTGCAGTTTGCATAGGAATGTACTCACACGTGGATTAAGTGTAAAGGCGGACGCGCACGTTGTAAACTATGAATACATGTATATGTGTCCTATTATTTGCAGCAAAAACTGTGGGATGATATAGAAATGGAGTTAGGGCAGTTTGTGCAATACATGGTAGATATGGACATGGAGGCCCTGGGTTCGAACTGTGCGAATGTGTATTATAAGCACCCGCAGGATCCAAATGGTGTGGAGAGACTAGTCACACGCGCGGGAGACAGAATTATGTGCAAGCTGATGTCTGGGGCATTATTCTTTCTATACCAAAGCAACGCAACCGCAAAAATCCAAGGAATAGACCACACAAATGATGAAACGTTGAGGGAGTACGTAAGATGTGCCATACTGAATATGTTTGCAAAGTTTTTAAAGCAGTCAGCGTGTGACGGAAAATGGGGTTTATGGTACGCATGGTACACAGTGGAAAGGGAAATGGACGAATCCATGGGAGGAGTAATGAAAAGGGTGAATTGTGCAAATGAAGTATATCAAAATATTCAAGCTGCAGGATGGTCTATGGAACAGAAAATTGCAACATGGTTAAGTACGGACCACAAACTAAAGGACAGATTGGGCAAAGCAGGTGTAAGCAATATCTGTAAATGGGAACTGGATAAGGACGGGCACATCAAAGGCCGAAAGGGTACGGCACATGTAGACAATACGACGCACATGATAGCCACAAACGTAACGAAGCCATTGACGGAAGGTATAAAGGAAATTTTGGTGGACATTAAGAAGGAAGTTAAGGAGACCATACAACGCGGGCTGCATACTCAACAGGCCCCGGGAGTACAAGGGGTACAGACACCGTCGCCATCACCACCAGGTAGGTCAGATCACGGTAGTGGGGAATCGTCCGGGTCCGCCCCTGCAATATCAGGAGCTAATGAGCCGGCAACCACACCATCCAAGGTACCGACAGGTAAGGACCGATGGGGAGAAAGGACGAATACGGCCAAATACGAATACGAATATACGGTCGGTACAGCCCGTACTGATGCCGACACAACGGAACGGCCACAACAATGCACGCGCGGCGGAACAGCACAGCAAACGACTTCGCTGACGTTGAGTGGCGACCACGATGGCAGCGGCGAGCGTACCGTATTGCTCAATATGGATGCCACCACAACAACACGCGAACACGGTGGCGAACAACGCACACGGCTTCGTTGATGTTGAGCGGCGAACGTACAATTGCCGAGTGGAGAGGCCACGACGGCACCAATAGCGGAGACGGGCGGTGCACACGGACGGAACGGGTCGACGGACGAGATGACGGCGACAACATAAAAGTTGTACTGCTACCATCTAGCCCAAGTTCACCGAGTACGCAGTCCACGCAGTGGACTCTGCCGCTACCGGGCCACACCGTCCCGGCCCCTTCTTTCTGTACCACTTGTGTCGTTTTTTGTTTTTATCATCTTTCTCATCCATCTGTCGTACATCCCTCATTACAGGTGCAGGAGGAGCCTCGGCCGCTAAGCCGGCCCCAAAAGGAACAGGCACGCAAGGACCAGGAGCTGGACAACAACCCCCATCACCACCACCACAACAGCCAGAAAACACAAGTACGAGCAATACAGGCGCTGCGGCACCTGACACAGGCACTGGAAGCACGACACCTGATAAAGGTAAGGAAGGAGTACTTTGCAATGAGGACAAGGACGAATCCAGCATAAGGGGCCCGAAGCCAACAGTACAGGCCGATCCTATTGACTATAACCTTCGGGGCCACGGAAGTGTTACTATGGTTATTGTTACCCCGGAGCTCCCTAAGAAGTGCCCCGGCAATGGTAATGCAGGCATATGAGACCCCGCTTGCGCTTCAGGCACTGCATTTGAACTGAGTTTTACGGATGACAATGCAATCCTCCACCACCCTGCGCTGATCACTACGGGAGAGTACTTTACGTGGTCCACTGTAGAAAAAAAAAGCAAAAAAAAAAAAAAAAAAAAAAAAAAAAAAAAAAAAAAGAAACAACTTTTCCGGAGAGAGAGGGAGAGATACCACGGAGCGATAGAAACCAAACGTCGAATAAGAATGAGGAAGGGCAGAGCGACGGGGCGACCGGGGCGGAGAGAGCGAGCGACGGGTCGGTCATGAGTTGTAGACGTCGACAGATGTCGACAGACAGACACGCACACACACTGTGTGTGTTGTGTGTTGTGTGCGAGACAGAGAGAGTCTTTTCCCGGAGTGGCACCCTGCCCCCGTCCGTCCCCATCCACGGAGGTCAACCGTGGAACGGCGCGACTGACCCTGTGGCCAATCACAGTCAACCGTGTAGCCCACGGTGTGGTCAACCATCCAACTAACACACTTTAGGTTCTTTCCACATACTTCCCGTTCTTAATTGTACCTACAGGTAGTGAGACAAAGGTTGATTCCACGGAAAGTGCAACTAAGGCTAAGGGGCCACAGCCACCTCCGCAGAAATCGGATATTAGTGTTCAGGACAATACCAGAGAGAAGGGTGCTTCAGTGAGTACTAAACAGGAGAATAAACCAGTTGATGATACTGGTAAGGATGGAAGCACAGATCCTGCTTCAACATCCCCCGAGGAAAAGAGCGGGCACAGTGCGAATCCGGCTGGTGGCGAAACAGGTTCCACTGCACATGACACGGACGGCTTGGGATCAGTACACAACAGTAGCAACTTATGGGCAATAGGATCAGTACCCTCCGGTGATAACAAGGCTGATGGCAAAGGTGGTGGACCACCAGGCTTGGAAGAATACGGCTCTGGCATAAAGTGCAACGACAACCCTTCAGACAAGAGGTGTGACCCCCAATTCTCAATAACATTCAAACCGGATGCAACTAGTCTGGGGGGAGGATATGGGACCTGGACACCGCGCGATGGATTAAATGGGCAACCAGCACAATCAGGTAATGTACCTGGTCCACAGGATAAAATCCCAGGTGAAACTACAGATGGTAGCGGCCCGTATCCTCCTGACCTAACCGCCGACATCCTGACCGCCACTACTCCCGTGCTGTTTTTTCTCGCTTCCGTCATCGTTGCCCTTCTTGGTTATTCCCTTTGGAAGGTAAGGACACACATACGACGCGACGCCGTGTATGTATCCGTCATATGTACCATAGACACATGTGTTCCCAACGGGATGCTTTGTACGATCATTCTAACACCCATGCATTCACCTCATCGGCCTTGTTCTTTTTTTTTTTGTTTAGTACTTTGCCTTCCTCGGAAAAAAACGACGACGCACATATCGAACCGTTCGTGACGTGCCGTCACCGCCACTCCACGAAGACATATTGCAACATCTACAACGCGGCGAACTGCCGCCACCCGATTACGGGTACACGATGGTTAGGGCTACGCGGGCTGCGTCAACATCCGAACGCCGCGGACAACGTCCACCACGCGTGAATCGCCGCACCATCCTCGAGCTACATCTAGAAGTGCTCAACGAATGTGAAGCGACCGAATGGGAACACGTCAAAGAGCACTATTTGCAGATTGTCGTGGAGGAGTTTGCAAATAACTTGATGCGGGACGACCACAGGAATAACACTATCTTGGATGTTCCTAACTCGCACGCCGCTTTAGCAACCCACGATGCGACAACCCGGAATCCACCCACGGACATCGACGCAACAAATCCATTACCACCGAATGAAGACGACCCCGATGCATGGAGTTGTATGGAAACCATACAGTTCGCAACGGCCCGTTCTCCACCTAACGAAGATGACCCCGACCCATGGAGTTGTATGGAAACTATACAGTTCGATGCACCACAGAGTCGTGCTCATTCCAACCCCGAGCACGCGACCCCCGACCACACTAATTGGATTAACTGGATTCACCGCAACACGCATCTATTGCGGGCGTGCACGGGGAAAACGTGGTTTAATGCCCTCAAAACGGAATGGAAACAATACCTGCGCGAGCACATGGTGGCAAACGAGGATAACGCAGTATACGGGCACCGTCAATTCGGTCAGCGTGGCAATATCCCATCCGTAGAGATGAAGAAAGATGCCTGGAACGAGTGGGTCGAACAGCAACATCGGCAAATGAGTGTACATAGCGACGAGGCGTGGTTCCAACATTTGTTGCATACTGCACAGGAGGAGACAGAATCGCAAAACGGCCAAGCACCTATAGTGGACAAAGAGTTAGAAGTGGAACAAGTAATGGCAGCAGCACATGTGCTACGAGTGCGAGATTTACCGCGCTCGCAACCACCCCATGAGCAATACTACCAGCAGAAACACTTAATTGCCAAATTGTGGATGCTCCTCCTCGCGTCCGTAATCGAAGAATGCGAGGTCGAGAGAAGTGTGCAGGATAGGGAGTTATATGTAGATGAACTATTGCAGCAACTGTGACATTCGGATGACGTTGCATATGAATGCGAAATAACGCATGCTACTCGTACACCACTTTTACTTCATTATGTTATATACATAATATATTTCGGGTTTACATTATTCCATACTGTCTTTTTTTTTTTTCTGCTCTGTTCTGCTTACTTGTGCTTACTTTTGCCTTGTTTTGTTCTTTTTATGTGTAGTCAACTTTTTTTATTATGACTATACGCTTCCGGCTGTAGAGGTTACATGCATATAAAATGCAGATTTACATGAATAATATGAAGGGGTAGTATTCTCCTTTATGGGAAATTAAGTATTAAAAGCTGAGCACGTGCATTCTAAGGGTATAGTGTACAACTCACATAGAATGCGAATACGCATTCGAGTATACGGAGCGCTTGTCTCCGAGCAAACGCGGCCGCGTAAACCGAATTGTCGTCGAGTGTAAGAAGGAGGAGAGATTGTCTCTCCGAGCAAACGCGTCGACCAACGCGGGAGCGTGCACGGCGGAGGACCATTGTCTCCGCGCACCCGCGGCCAAGTGCAACACCGATTGGACGTAGGATTGTCCGAGTGTAAGAAGGACGAGATTGTCTCTCCGCGCACACGCGGTCGGTCCGAGTGCAGCGGATTGGACGAAGTAGCCGCGTAAGCATTGTGCCGAGTGTAAGAGAGGAGGGAGAGATTGTCTCTCGAGGCAAACGCGTCGACCAACGCGGCCGGGTACAGGCGATTGTGCGCGTAATGCGACCGAGTGTAAGACGGATTCGACGAAGTAGCCGAGTGTAAGCCGGAGGAGGATTGTCTCTCCGCGCACACGCGGCCCGGTACACCCATTGTCCGAGTAACGCGCCGACCAACGTGGCCGCGTAAACCGCATTGTCGTCGAGTGTAAGAAGGGGTTCTGCGAAGTAGCCGAGTGCATGAACGAGGAGCATTGTCTCTGCGAGCACACGCGTCGACCAAAGCGGCCAAGTGCAAGACCGATTCGACGCAGTCGCCGAGTGTAAGAAGGACGCGGCTAGTAGGGCAAATTGATGTTGTTGTTATTACTGCGGTTTTAGTGTAGCAGCGGATATTTGTTGTTAAGGGGGGTATTTGTTGTTAATGGGTGATGAGATTACGTGTGCTGTTCCTAAGAGTACTATTGTTGAGGGGGTATTTGGGTTGAGGATTTTAGTGGGGGACAACTATTTTGAGTATGCAGGAGTAGAAGTTTCTGTGGGAAGCATATTATTCCGCAGGATTATGTTCACGTAAAGCGGACTTTGCATAAGTATCGACGAGAGTGGTATCTTATATAAGAAGGATAAAAGTGGGGGAGTCATGTGGAAGTATTTGAAAGTATTATGGGAGGATTATATAGCGACAAAGGATGTAGGGGTGAAGCAGGATGACGATGTATTTAAGCTAGGTCCGTGCGTCTGAGAAAATGGGAGGAAACTCCTGTGGTGTTATACAGATATGTTAGAATACTCTTAGGCACTGCCCTGGAGACGGCGTGCGTACCCTATGATTATTTGCCCCTTATATATTTTATAAGGAAGGAAATATATATGGGTGCAGCGTGTTTAATTATGTATATAATAATATACAGCGGGCGAAAAGGACTATTATTTATAGGGAACCATGGAACACATACTATACTTATAGGAACCTTTTTGGAATAGCATAAGGGACGTATGGGCAACATTTAAGGATCATATGGAGAGCGAGGATGATGATTCCATGATACAGAACTTGTGCGCGGCACACAACGATGAGGAAGAGCGGAAGCTGGATGCGCAGAATATAGCTATATGTCACTTAACACTTAAAGCATTATCCTTTAAACATGGAATTAAATTGGGCGCGTCCGGTGCGCACCCACACACTGTGCACACTGCGGCAGATGGTCTAGTGCTTTATATGAGGTGTATGTTGGTAAATATATTTATGAAAAGGATAATGGGAGAGAACTGTGTAAAGACCGCAGGCGGGAAACGCGCATTCGAAGCTGCAAAGGCATTCGTGGATACGCCGGGCACAGCGGCACGCAATTCTACCTGTGAGAAAGCAGATATGGCACCAGGGGGTGACAGGACCCAGAATCCGCACAATTGGACATTGCTGGACATAATGGGCAGGTGGCTTGAGAGGAATCGGGGAACATTGAATGATGGGAAGGAGGGCGTATTAGGAGACAGCTGTAGTGTCAATATAAGCGCAAGGATGGACGCCGACAAGGCCAAAGTACTGGATGAGTTGAAAAAGAAAGTGGAAGTTGAAATGGACAAGGTTGGGCAGCATATGAAAGAGAATATAACGACAATATTAAATGCAGTGAAAACATGCACCGATATGAAATGTGTGAAACGAGTAATACAGCAGGAAATGGAGAAAGAGCAGCAAGAGAAGAACGGGGCTTCTCCTCGAGAAACTCCAGAATTCCGAGCAACGGCGACCGATCCGGGAACAGGGGGAGACGGGAAAGCGCGTTCCGAGAACCCTGGCGCCACCAAACCAGCACCCGCTAAACCCGCCCCGGCCAAACCAGTAGCGGCGAAACCCGGGGGACCGGTGACACCGGTTGCAACGGGATCGTAAACGGGGACGCACACGCACACGCGGTCCAGGCGCATGGCACCACCTGGTCGTGGTGGTGGTGGTGGCGGTGGTACGGCCCGTGTTCCTGGCGGCGGAGGCAAGGAGCACGGCAAGGCTGGAAAAGGACAGGATTGTGCTGAAGATAGAGCCCAGCAGCGGCCATCTAAGACACTGTATGTGGTTCCGCCTAATGTAAGTTACATTACACCGACAGCGCAGAGATGCGCAGGCAACCGTAACAACAAACAGAACAGGAATTTATTCATAAGGGCACTTACACATATATGTCACGGTGTACATGTATTGACTGCGAATAACATAGGTAGCACGTGCTCATGAGGACTTTTGTATGTTCACATGCCACACGTAGAACGACGACTGGAACAAGTGGAAGACAGTGTTGGAGGACTTTAAGGAATATATGGATGCACACACAGACCTCGCGGATGCCATAGGGGCAAACTGCTATAATAGTGGTTGGAATGATTTCGGCGACGGGAAAGACTATCATACGGGGCAAACCGTAGCAGACGTCGTAAGGTGCAGAGTTATGAGTACTGCATGGGCGTTTGCAAATGGGTGGGATATGCCTGGGACTAAGACGCACACGGACGACAGGGTGCCAATGGACACGGCAGAAGAGAATAGGCTCAGATGTGAAGTAGCAAATATATTTGGACATTTACTGAAAAAAAAGTATTGCACCCGGCAAACAGGATTCAAGAGAGGTGTAGAATATTCTCGGATAGTATTCAGGAAAATGAACAGCCCCGGCACACCTGCATTTGGAGCACTCCGCGGTCCTGTTATAGAAGGCAAGTGTACAGCATGCGGGTATGACCAGAATAAAAGGTCGGCACACGCCATAAATTTGCCTGTAGTGGAGTGGTTATTGTACGAAGGGAAAATATTGCAAGGAATCGAGAACATAGAAGGCGGAGCGCACTGTACTAAGAAGTGGGAGCAGTATACAAAGGGCAAGACGAAGATGGATAACCCGAAAGAGCTGGATGAAGAGAAAATCACTGAAATAAAGCCAGAACAGGAGAACCTAAGGAAGAAAGCAACCAAGAAAATGGACGAAGTGAAGGAAGCATTAGAAAAGAAAATTCAGGAAATGAGAGATAAGCATATGAATGGTACGAATATACGGCAGCTACGAATAGTAGGAATGCCGGCACCAACAACAACAACACGCGGCGGAACTGCGAACAGCACACATCGCTTCCCCGTCGCTGCCCCACTTCGGTTGAGCGCCGAGCGTGGCGCCCACGACGGATGGAGCGGTGTCCACGACGGTAGCGGTAGCGAGCCACCGGAGACGAGATGACGGAGCGGGACGGCGACAACACATACAAGTGCACTGCTATCACCTCCGTCCACCGAGTACGCAGTCCACCGAATACGCAGTCCACCGAGTTCACCTCAACGTACGCTTGCTGTCGCCTGACCCAGTCCACCGAGTGCACCTCGACCCACTGCATCGACCCACTGCATCGACCCACTGCATCGAGCCGACCACAGCCCCACCCTGCCGTTACCGGACCGCACCGTCCCGGCCCCTTCTTTCTGTACCACTTGTGTCGCTTTTTTATCGTCTGTGCATCTGCCTTTCTTCCATCTCGCATTGCAGGCACGAAACCGGCAGATGGAGGAGGAGACCAGAACGGGAAAAAGCCGTCGTCAACATCACCATCACCCGGGAGCACAGGACACGGCAGTACACGGGAAGGTCCACGGTCAGATACAACAGCGGGAGAGGGCGTACAGGTGTCACAACCAACAACAACACATTCGCAACCACAAGCACCTGCATCTCCAGTATTACCAACAACACCACCAGCCAGACCACCTCCTCCACCTCCGCCTGGAGAACAACCACCATCACAATCATCGTCGGCATCGGGATCAGGAACAACAGTATCGAAGGATACCAAAGACACAGGTAAGTGCACACACGGCACTAAGGTATATGAAGAGAAAAATGTGGGAAGGGGCCTCCCGGGTGCCAACTCGCGTATCACTATCTCCTTTGCAACGACCGCGGGAACTGATGGTGACTGTGACAAGAAGTCCAAAGACACAGGAGCAGGTAGTGTCCTGAGTGAATATCCACAACAAACACCACGAGAACAAAAGAAACAACATTTCCGGCGAGAGAAACCACGCAGCGAGAGAAACCAAACGTCGAATGAGAATGAGAATGAGCGGCAGCCCCGCGTCCGGTAGCGACCGGCCGAGCGATCGGCCAAGCGATGGGTCGGCAGCGCGATGTAGACGTCGACAGACGTCGACAGACAGATGTCGACACCCACACTGTGTGTGTGTGTGTTGTGTGGCACAGAGAGAGTCTTTTCCCGGAGTGGCACCTGCCAACCACCGTTCGCACCGTGGCACCAGTGGTGCCGACCGTGTGGCCAACCGCACTATGTGCACAACCACCCCTGAAAAATTAGTTACCTCTATATTCTTGCCCTTGCTTCTATGTTCAGATGACAAGACGGACGCGACGGTTGTGAACGCTGGTAAGGATAACTCCGCGCCAGGACCAACAGGACCACCAGGAACAGAAGCACCAACTGCACGGGCACAAGCAACAACACCAGGAGCATCGGCAGACGTACCACCAGCAGGTGGCACTAACACAGACCAGACCCAGGAGGATGTGAACTCGGTAACAGCATCCCCCGATGGACAAACTGCACAGACTCCAAGTACCCCTGTTAGTGGTACACACACGACCGGCGTGGTTAATGGCGCCAACGATGACCCCCCTCCTCTCAATCCACCCAAACCCAAACCGAACCCGGACCCCAATCAATCGGGAAGTAGCGGTGTAGGGGGTGGTACTGAACAGGGTACTGGTGGGGGAGGGGGTACAGGAGGAAGTTATTCATCCTCCGGTCCGGAACTTCCCCCCTCCAGTCCAGGTCAAGGAACAGTGCCCTCGACGACCACAACAGGGGCACCAACACCATCATCAGGAACAGAAACAACATCAACAGGACAAGGAGGGGACGGTAGTACGAGTGACAACCAGGATGCCGTCGACTCCGGTAAAGGTGGTCACGTGGAGGGCGGTAACGATGACCCCCCTCCTCTCAATCCACCCAAACCAAAACCAAACCCGAACCCAGATCAATCGGGTACAACCGGTAGCGGCCCCGGCGCGGGCGCACCATCCTCAGGAGGTGGTGCACATGGAGTTTCTGGTCGGGAAGGAAAGGGAGGTGCAGGTGATGGGGGAGGTGGTGCAGGTGCAGCAGGTGCTGGAGCAGGTTCCACTGGGCCTGTGAAACCAAATTCCTCAGGCACCGATTCTACCGGTCATGGTACTGCCACTACAGGAGGTGGACGTGCTGCTCCTACCCCTACCACCCCTTCCGTTCCGCCCGGCCTCACATGGGACGATGTCAAGTGGTACACCCCCGCGCTCATTCCCGCGGTGGTTGGTATTGGGGTCATTGCCTTTTTCCTATGGAAGGTAAGTATACACGGCAATCACGGCATGCCGGACGTGCAGGATGTTTATACCTCAGAACATCCCTACGCGCACCAATATATGATGTTTCTAAGCAATATACTCCTACATCCGCGTTCATTCCTTTTATCCTACCGTCGTCACCCTCCTCTTTACCCCCTTTTTTTGCTTAGTATTTTGCGTACCTCGCCAAACGACGACGAACATATCGAACCCTGCGTGACGTGCCGTCACCGCCACTCGACGAAGACATACTAGACCATCTACAACGCGCCGCACCACCACCCGATTACGGGTACACGATGATTCAGGATAGGCAACCTGCGTCTGCTGCGGCGCGACGCCGACGACGCCCACCACGCGTGCATCGCCGCACCATCATCGACCTACACTTAGAAGTGCTCAACGAATGTGAAGCGGCCGCATGGGAACACGTCAAAGACGACTATTTGCAGATTGTATTGCAGGAGTTTGCACAGGAGTGTGCGCAGGAGTTGATGCGGGAACAGGACACGACTAACAATATCTTGGGTGTTCCTACCTCGCACGCCGCTTTAGCAACCCACGATGCGACAACCCGCGCTCCACCCACTCACACCGACGGCACAGATCCATGTCCACCGAATGAACACGAACCTGATGCATGGAGTTGTATGGACACCATGCAGTTAGCCACGGACCGTTCTGCACCACATTACTCCGTCCTCTGTGCAGTTCGTGCGAATGCGAATTCGGCCCCCGACCACATTAATTGGATTACCTGGATTGACCGCAACAAGTACCTATTGCGCGCGTGCACGACGCAGCCGTGGTTTTTGCAATTAAAAGCGAATTGGAAACAACATGTGCGTGAGCACATGGCGGCAGACGAAGACCACGGGCAGCGTGCCTTCGGTGAAGTGGCAACCCTCGAGATGCGCAAACTGCGGTTGTGGAAAGCATGGGTTGCAAAGCAACATGACCTTATGAATACATATAGTGAAGAGCAGTGGTTTCAACATTTGTTGAATAGTGTAGAGGAGGAGACAGTACCCGAAAAAGGCGATATACACGGAGTGGAACATGTAATGGCCGCAGAAGATATGCTACGCCTGACACATGTACCACGGTCGCAACCACTGCATCCGCAACTGTACATGACAAAACCGTTAACCGCTCAAACATGGATACTGATCCTGGCATTAGTCATAGAACAGTGCGAAATCGAATGTCGTTTGCAGGAGACGGAGTTATATGTGGATGATCTATTGCAGCAACTGAGACATTAGTATGACGGCGCATATGCATGCGACATAACGCATGCTAACATTAGACCACTTTTATTTCATTATGTGATATACATAATATATTTCGGGTTTACATTATTCCATACCTTCCATTTTTTTTGTTCTATTGTTTACTTCTGTTTACTTGTGCCTTGTTTTGTTCTTTTTCTGTGTAGTCAACTTTTAACATGACCATGGGGACAGGGTGGTACAGGTTAAATGCATATAAAATGTAGATTTAAATGAATAATATGCAGGGGTCGTATTCTCCTTTATGTGACGTTAAATATTAACAGATGCGCACGTGCATGCTACGGGCATAGTGCAGCACAACTATAGAACGCGACTACGCATTCGCGTATACGGAGCGATTGTCTCTCCGAGCACACGCGGTCGGGTAAGTATTGTCCGAGTAAGACCGATTCGACGCAGTCGCCGCGTGTAAGAAAGGACAGATTGTCTCTCCGAGCAAACGCGTCGACCAAAGCGGCCGAGTGTAAGAACGATTCGACGCAGTAGCCGAGTGTAAGAACGAGGACAGATTGTCTCTCCGAGCAAACGCGTCGACCAACGCGGCCAAGTGCACCACCGATTCGACGAAGTGGCCGCGTGTACGAAAGCAGGGACACATTGTCTCTCCGAGCAAACGCGTCGACCAAAGCGGCCGCGGAAACGGATTGCCACCGAGTGAACGTATTTGACGACGTGGCCGAGTGTAAGAACGAGGAGCAGATTGTCTCTCCGCGCAAACGCGGCCGCGTAAACCGCATTGTAGCCGAGTGTACGACGGTACACATTGTCTCTGCGAGCAAACGCGGCCGGGTAGACGCTTCGACGAAGTAGCCGAGCACACGTGACCGTGTGTAAGAAGGAGGACACATTGTCCGAGCAAACGCGTTGACCAACGCGTCCGCGTAAACACGACTGTCCGAGTGAAGCAGTTCGACACAGTGGCCGAGTGTAAGAACGCAGGGAGACATTGTCTCTCCGAGCAGCGTGGCCTGGTAAGCACCATTCGACCAAGTGGCCGTTTGTAACAACGATTCGCCGAAGCAAACGAGTGTTCGACGGAAGAAGAATTTGATTTTGTTGTCGCTACTGCGGTTTTTAGGTGCACGCACACAGAGACAGTGCGAAGGCGTTTAGTGGAGACCGGGGCGTAGGGTGTGTATTCATGATGCGTTGTGTAGCATTTTTTCTATTTTCTCCCTTCTGTCTTTTTTTTTTTTAATTTTTTTTATTTTTATTCTTTTCTCTTTTCTCTTTTCTTTTTGTTCTTCTTACATATGTCTTATTTCCCACTTTTCATTTCATGTACAATTATGTGTATTACCTAATGTAGAATGGCCACTTATATAGGTACAATTCTGTTTAAGTTTAATATGTATTAAGGGCAAGAATAGAAGGGTGTTCCTTCTCCGTGTGTATTATAACAATATATTATACAACTGTTCGAGTAGCTCCTACCTGTTGTCAACCACATAGAAAGGTTATTCTGTGCGGGAGCCAGGTACAAGTAGCATGTGGCCACGGAAGGAACAACCGGAATATGAATTCAGGATTTCTGAAGTATTAAGTGGACGCATGAAAACCTTAATAACAGGTTCTGGCATTTTCCTGCTGATGACAAATGCAAGATGAGTTCGCACGCGGGGACAGATAAGTATGTGGAGGAATTTATTGCACATGTTTTGGCCATATGGGCCACGAAGGAACGGAGGTTCACGCCGAAGGAGTTTAACGTAAGTGTGCATAAGCAGGAGTAGAGGGATCACCGGATTTGCATAAAGCACATTATTCTGTCGACGGGGAAACATGCGGTACGGGGGACACCTGCAGTTTAGCGTTTATATATACTCGTTTCCGGTATTCTATATATTCACTGTAGGAGGGGCTATGGAATATTATGAAGGGACTATTGCAGGAATTTGTGCAGCATATGGAAAAAATGCAGGAGCTCGGACTAATAGAGTCACTGGGTGCCAACTGTGATAATACTGGTTGGGATTATATGGACGACAGTACTGATTTGTTCGTAACTTTTACTGAAAACGCCAGACTGACTTGCCAGATCATGTCCGCTGCATTAGGGTTCATGGGTACAGTAAGACAAGGACGTGATGTTGCAGTAACGAGGACTGACAATGAGAAAGATATTAGAGAGATATTAGGATGCGTTGTGATGCATGCATTTGCCAGTATCTTAAGATATACAACGTGTGGGGATACGTGGAAAGGAATAAATTATGCGTGGAGAACAATGAAGCAGGTGGAAGGCGATGGGTTCGCCGGGAGCGAGGGTGCTATTGCAAGCGCAAGATGCGAGAAAAGCGGTTGGAAGGGATTAAAAATAGGTAGCGCAAACATTCAAGACGCGGTTGATACGTGGTTATCGCACAATACGGAATTATGGACAAAACTGAGGACAATACATGGCCATGAGAACTGTCGACGCCACAAGTCAAGAACAGATGCATTAGCAAAAACAACAGGGAACGTGGATCCAGGCGCACGTGTCATCGGCAGCGGTGGCATTGGAAAAGAAATAGTGACAGTGGTGAAGGACGTATTCGACAAGATGAAGGACGACGTAATACAAAAATCCAAGTCACCGCCACAACTACCAGGAGCAGGTAAGGGCAGCAAGCATGAGATTCCTAAGAATACTAATACGCATACGGCCCGCTACGTACCGTACGCTACCGATACGGCTAAATACGGAAGGTCACAACATGCACGGATGCCGCCACCACAACAACACGCACACGCGGCGACGACGGCAGCGACAGCGGCAACGACGTGTAGACGAGGGCCGGAGTGGGATGGCGCCGACAAATAAAAGTGTACTGCACCATGCAGCCGACCCAGTCAACCGATTGCACCTCGACCCACTGCATCGACCCATGCATCGAGCCGGACCGTACCCGACCGGTACCGGACCC